CTCATTTTGGGGGAGACCTATCCCTGAACGGCGGAGACTGTTTGCGCATTGGCACAGCAGCGGGGCTGCAACCAGAAAGACTAGTCTCAGTTTTCCTGCTGCTCCCTGCCTGTCAGTGGAGAAACCCGGGGAAAGTGGCTGTACTCATTTCAGCTCGATTAAATTCTGGGCACGCATTTGAATTAGTATCAAACCTTCTGAACAAAATGCTGGGCAAGAAACCTCTTACGCCATATTGTTATATTTTCTTATATTTATACATACGTTGTGGCCTTAATGTGTGGGTCAATCTTATATGGTTATTTATTGTGATAGGTTTTATTCCATGCTGCATCACAGTGGTGGTTCTTGCATTAACAGCACCCTGGGCAAGCCCCTTTTTTTTGCTCCCCCCTGGTTGCACTACACAAGTGTCTGTGAAGCCTGGATTTCTCCAGCTAAAAAAAAAAAAGAAGAAAAGTCATGGTAATCTGTGATTCACTCTAGGTTATTGTCACACCCGGCAGTCTGGTACTTGATTGGGGATGACAATTGCAGCATTTGTTACATTTTCTGCTGGTGCAGTTCACTTTCACACTCTGTTGTCTCAAACAAACCATAACCTGTGAAAAATTTGTTCCCACCCCTTGCCTGTGGGGACACTCCACCAAAGACCACTGAAGGAAGCTACATGAAAACCTCTGAAGAAGATACTGAGCATATCTCCTTGTAAACACAAATGGAGCAGTGTCAGATTTTACAAGGACAAGGATTTCTCCCTTGTCCTTGGCAAAGACCACGAGACATTTCTCACTCTTGCACTTGATGCACATTTGTTTTGGTTGTGTTTCTCTTCCTGGTCTCCATTCCACTTGGAAGTCACATATTCATTCAAACCATGCCAGAGTTCACTTCATTTGAAACAAGATTTAGACCAGAATCTGCTTTTTTGGTCTGCACCAGAGTTTGATTGCACATTCACACCTCCCCAAACGAACCAGACTGGTTTAGGCAAACACACTAGTGTTCAAATAAAGCAGACTAAGCAGGGTGTGAACAATGCATCCTACGTAGACCTGTGAGTATTGACACAACTTGATTTTCTTTTTCTTAGATGCAAGCAGTACGTCCCGGCTTAACATACCAGGCTTCAACTCTCCATTGACTTCTTATGCATAAAAGCAATATGAAACTTCTTGTGGGTACAAATCACAGATAAATAAACCACTTTCAGGGACAGTACTTGACTGGATCTTACTCAGAGAACAGGAATTTCTTTCTGTCGGTAGGTGACGTCTCATCTGAGCGGACAGAAATCACATGCAGGGCACTGTCTTAGGACCCCTCTTATTTAATATCTACATACTCCCACTGGCTCAGATTAGCAAGAAATAACATTAATTACTATATGGATGATGCACAGCTCTATGTTACATCACCAGGTGATGAAGAACCCATTGTTTCCCTGAGTAGATGCATAGAACAAATCAATGCATGGATGTGCAATGACTTTTTGTTTTAGCTGAACAGAAACAAAACTGTTCAGCAGAGAGTCACTGCACAGAGTCAGCTATTTCAGCTAGAAAATGTAATAGTGATGGACTTAGACCTGAACTTCAAAAGAAACATAAAGACAATATTAAAGTCGACCTTTTATCACCTGAAGAATGCTTTATAATATTGAGAAATACATAAATGCATTTATCTTCAGTCAAATTGATTTTTGCAACATCTTCACAGGCCTGCCAAAAAAGTCACACTTATGCTCTCACTAAAACTCTAAAAATAGAGCACGTCAAACGTGTTCGAAAGTCCTTCCCTTGACTTCCTGTAGCTCAGAGAATAGACTTTGAAATACTTTTGTTAGTTTACACCTTAGCACGAAAATACATTAAAGTTTTGTTGCTGTTATGTCAACCGTCCACACCACTGAGGTTTTCTTGTTAAAGTCTACTCTGAATCTTTAGATTTAAAACCATAGGTGGAGAAGCAGCAGTTACAGAAAACTGCTGAAACATGGAGTTTTGTTTAACCTATTTGTTTAGTTATCTTTGATTAATAATAAAGCTAGATTTTTTTTGTAGTCAATTGTTATATGTGCTTAACATGTAAAGTACTTTTAACTACCTTGTTGCTGAAATGTGCAATACAAAAATAAAATTAGACTTGTGCTCATGCCAAAAAAGTCACACTTATGCAGCTGCTTACGTTCCCACTAAAACTCAACACTTTCAACATTTTGTCCCATTTTAACCTCACACTTCAGTATATTATGTTAAAATTTGTGTGATAGAGAAACAAGAAGTAGTGAAAAATTGTGCAGTGGTGAGTGTGTTGTGAAGGCACAGGGGTTGAGCGCAGCCCACATGTGGATGCTTTGGTCCTCAAAGCGGCTGTCGCGGGTTTGATTCCAGGCCTGGTGACCTTTGCCGCATGTCTTCCCCCTCTCTCGTTTCCCACTTTCCTGTTGATTGACTGTCGGATGGAGACGACCAGAGCCAATAAAAACGTTTAAAAAAAAATTTGTGCAGTGGCTGCAAAGTGATAGCTTTCAAAATGTTTTATGAAGCGTTTGGCAGCATCCAACTGTTTCTCCATGGACAAACAAGAAATATACTCCCTTCTTTTTGTATGCTGACTAGTACTTTCAATTAGGATTTGCTTTTTTAAATGTTGAATTTCTTTACTATTTCAAATTCCATCTCAATTAAAAGGAACTGCTTTCGTTGCTTAAATTTGAATGCAGAAAAATGGCAACACAGAAACTGAGGGGTGTGATTCATGAGGAATTGGATTGAACACAGAAGGAAACCCTTTCTGACAACCCTCAGTAAGATATACATCCAAAAACTTTGATATCAAAGAACTGAATAATCAACAAGTCCAAACTGTTCCTTAATTGATGCAATTTTCCAACAACTCCTCTGATGGAGAAGCATAAGTGTTTCAAATTTGGACATTCTTTCCAGATGCAAAGCTCAAAACAGATTTCCATGTATATATATGTAAATGACGTCCTCACTAGTCTTTGTGCAACCCTTGCAGCAGGTGAGCCTATTGATTTACTAGAACCCAATGAACACAGGGTGCTTCTAGAGTAGACTGATGTTTTGACCAGGTGTGTGCACACATGATCTGGGCTGGTTGTGAGTGGCTATGAATGAAATGAAGATGCAGCTGTAGAACCTCAGCTGTCAGAGGAAGGCTGGACCCATGCCATTTGGAGCTCAAATCTAAACTTGTTGCACAAGCAGTCTCCTAAAATAGGTACACTGCAATTTAGATCAACCAGCATGTGCCAAAAGTACCACAATTTATATATTAAAAAGTTTCAACATTGATATATACATATATAAATGTAAAAGTTGTAGTAAAACTGAATCTGCGTGCATCAAATAAATCAGATCAGATCTTTATCCTGTATAAATACACGTTGAAATTATTCTTTAAAGAAATAAAAAAAAATATATAATGTTTTTTCATAAATCAAAAATCAAAATCCCTGAGTGGGACGAGCACTACTAAAGAAATGATGATTGGTCTGCAGTTCAGTAGTGGCTGTGCAGGTTAACCAAGACACAACAGCAGTTTAAATTCATGTGCTTAAAATTGATATTTAATATGTTTTAGAAACAAAATATATTTCAGAAAATATATTTATGATGAATGCTATTACTATAAATTTAATGTAAAATGTTATTAGATTCACAAATTCAATTGTTTCATGAAGTGATAAACTGAGAGCTTCGAAGTACAGCGAAAAAACAGTATGTATTTCTCTTATATTAGCTTATGAGCTGCTACATTTTTTAAATGTGCAATTACATTTATTTACTGGAAAAATGAATTATTTTGCATTAGTTTTGCATTGTTATTATTCATAAGTAATCGTTGACTTTCTCCCTCTACTCACATAAAGTTGTAATAACTGTTACAACCACTAGGTGACACTATTACAATAAATTTTAAGTACATGTCCTTAGATAAACTCAGTCCAAGTTACTGACTTTCAGTAAACTGTTTCTTTGAAGCAGGACAAATTATGCAATTACAAAATAACACCTGTAAGAACATTTATACTCTTTTCTCCCTTTTCTTTAAAGACAATTTTATCTGTAACAGCTGATGCTCTACTATTTCATTTGAGTTTCCATTCTAGCCTTGATCAAAGTAAGCTTAAATATAGCGACGATGGTCTTAATTTGTTTAATCATAAATGCACTGTGGTACAATAGACATAAATTTAATGGTTTTTGCTCATCTGTAATTCAGATTATGACGTTAACAAGGATCTGAGAGAAATCTGAACTTGTTAAAAATGTTCAAGTTTCAATATTGCGTTTTCTTTTTCTTTTTTTACTCAAGGTGTTACTTGACTTTTCGGTAACATTCTCCATACAGGTTTGACTGTCGCATCCGTGAAAAGATGTTTGCCTGCAGCTTAAATTTAGAAATAGATGAGATAAGTAATGCAATCATGGAAATGCTTCCATGATTCTTTTCTGTTGGCACCTTGACACAAGACTGGCAGCAGCACGCTGCGACTCCCTCCCAGCAACAGCGTCACAGATATGGGCCGTCTGCCACGGGGTCCGCAGCCAATCGAGGACACAAACTCTGCCAGATCGCTACAGCAGCCAATGGTGAACCTTTGTGTTCCTGGTGTAATCCCTCCGAGAAATAGATTCCAATGAACCCACAAGGTGCGCAAAGACAACGACAAGCCTAAAGTGGAAACTCAAATGAAATGTGCACACAGGCCAACTTGTGCATCTGTAAATTAAAACGAAATATTTGTTTGTTTGTTATTTTGCTTCCTCGTAGTGGTGCAAAAATAAGTAATAAATAAATAAATAAATAAATAAATAAATAAATAAATAAATAAATAAATAAATCTCGGATTTAAAACTGCATAATTTCTGTCTTGGAAGTTGAAACAAACAAAGCTGCATGTAGAACTTTGTCTCCATCTTGTGGACAATTTGTTCAGTACAGAAAACATTGATAGACTATTAGCACACTGTGGTAGCATTCATTTTATTCATCTTAAAAGCAGTTACATCTCACACCAAATGCATAAGAGAAACACAATAACGCTCCAAAAATATTCGCTATAAACTAGAAAAAAGAACACAAGAGAAAAAAAATACCAAAACAAAACAAAAAAAATATTGACCCACTCTGTGCACACCAAACAAACAAAAAGAATGTAAGAATTTCTCCTTCCAATAAAAGCAAAACGGTTTTCTGATTGTCACTATTTTGTCTGAAAGTAGAAGAAAAGAAAATGTGTCAATATGAAAGTGATTAATGCTTTAATTCAAAATTATACTCAGTGCAGCAACACTATGGCTGATTCTTACCTTAATGATGAGGACAACAAGAGAAAATATGATGGTGAAGAGGAAAAAGCAGAGGAAGGTTAATGCCATATACCAGGTTTCCTTCAGTGCATCTTGACTCACATCAATGTCCTTGATAGTATCAAAGAAGTTACAGTTCTCCAGAGTGTCTGTAGAACATGTAGTTTCATTGGTTATAAGCTTATGATGACTTTAGTGAAAAAAAAAGTTAATTAAAAATAAATCTTACTCACAGAGGTCTACACTAACTCTTTAATACTCAAGAAAAATGTAGTTCACATACCTGGTTTGGACATGTTTACTGAGATGGTGGTGCCTTCATGTGTCACCCGACAGGTGATAATCACGCCAGGTAAGGTGTCAATCGGTGCAAGGCGAAGGCGACTAAGAATTCTAAATTTCCTATCTGGGCCTATGTAGGGCTCGGTCGTGTTGTAGTCCGACAGCTCTGTGGTTTCGCTGCGGAACCAAGTGATATTGATGGATTTTGGGTTGAAGCCCGAGACCAGACACATGAGTTCGTTCTCCCCCTGGAGCAAGACGGCTGAGGGTTTGGTGAAGCTCACAGAGGCTGAGGAAATAAGTTATTTTTTTTAGCGAGTACTGTAGAGGAAAATAAGATTTTTGAAAACTGATTGTTAGCTTACCAAACACGTCACTTATGCTGGTTTCAAATGGAGACTCAGAGGATTCATGTCTGACAACACAAGAGTAAGTTGAGTTATTGTTCTCTGCCTTAGTTACATTTAGTCTGCTCCTCATTGAAAAATAGAGTCTTCCTGGTTCTTTCCATGAAGGACTGTTAACATAGAGAGATGCTGGGAGTTGTTGGCCATTTTCTCTCCACTGAACAATGATGTCAGATGGAAAAAATGCTGAAACTAAGCAAGTAAGGATGATGCTGTCAGATTTATACAACTCATCAAAAGTTGGCTCCATTATCCTCAGAACTGGCCGGTACAGATCTGGAAACACCAACACAAAACAGAAAGAAAGAAAGCAAGAAATGGTAAATTACATTTACGGTAAGATAACATTTGTAAATAGTCCTTGGAGTGCTTGTAATACCTGTACTTTTTCTGATATAGTCTTCATAACTTTTGTTGGAACACAGATGTTTTCCCTCGCAAGACACTTGCTTATTTGAGTGCCAGTCCTCTGCTGACACATAGAGCGAGCTGTGCAAAGTTTCCGTTCCATTGTTGTGACTCACAGGTATTTCCATATTGATATTACTTGGGGAAGCTTCCTGGTCACCTACTTTCCAGTTTATTGAGAAATCACAAAGACTAGTCCCAACAAAAAGACATGTAACAGTCACCCGTCCCCTCTTTTGTAGCTCCTCTAGTTTAGGTCTCTGAATATAGACTCCAACCGAATGAGAAGACTTTGGCGTAACTGAGGAAAAATAAATCCTTGATAAAGCAGGTGATCCATATTTAAAACTAGAAAACGACATGTACAGATTTAGTTATAATTTTACCTGAACAGATACTGATATCCTTTTTGACATTTTTCCTTAGAGAACTGTCAGACACTTCACATGTAAAAACCACTCCTCTTTTCCACTCTGCATGATCAACATGCAGTTGACTCATCACAGCAACATGACCATTGTTATTCATACTGGTGTCTGAATTTGATGGGTTTATTTCCTTTGACCTGTTAAACCATTTGATGTTTGGGTTGAAGCCCCATCCGGAACACGCTAATATTTGTTGCTCAGATCCTTCACTGGGAACAGGATGAACTTCCACTGAGGGTTCCACTAAAATGTTTTGAGAAAAGAAATTTAAACAGATAAGAAAGCAGATTAAAATACGCCACTAGGTAGTGATACATTTTCCAAGAAAATGCAAACAACTCTTACCAAAAATTCTGCTCATCAAATTTGACTTGAAGGTACTGCTGCCTTGGTTCACTCTGCATGAGACATTTGTGTCAATTTTCCAGGACTTTGTAGGAACAGAGAAACTTCTACTGACTGAATAAGGGCCGGATTCTTCAGGAAGATCTATATAATCCTTTTGCAAAGTGTCAGCTCCGTTCACTTGAAATGTAATAAAGAGATCCTGCGGGGAGAGCTGTGACACGTCACACTGGAAAACGGCACTTTCTCCCTTCAGCAGCTTTGACAAGGACCTTCTGATCTCCACCTGTGGACGTCCAACTGAAGGCCCTGGATCATAAAAGGTGAATGCAAAATAATACATCATACTTGTGTTTCTCGAACATTCTGTGAAAGTGCAACATTTAATGCATCACCTGCTACTTTTGCTGTCTTTTCGGTGGGTGAAAAACATGCATGTTCTACTCTGCATGTTATGGTCTTCAGTTGGCTCCACTTTGCTAAAGGAACTCTCACATCAACGACTAAATGTGTCTCGTTTCGAAGTTGAGTCCTTGAACGTCCTTCATGAATATTTCCATTTAGCAGCCAAGTGACTTTGGCATGAAAAGCAGTGTGAACCAAACATGTAACTTTCACAGATCCTGTCGTCACTGTATTAGAGTTTGGAATCTCCAATTGAATGTTTGGAGGAGGGCTTGAACAAGCTGAAAGGGAGAAAAATGACAAGTGAATGAAGAAGAAGCTATCACCAATCACGCCCAGTCTTTCAATAACAATACCAACTTCTGCATACCAGATATAATAAGCAATTGCTTTGTAAAAATGTATTGATGTGACAGTCCAAAACTGAAATCGACTGAAACAATATATATTTTTAAATCTATTAAAACGGCCACCCCAAAAACTGTGGATCATCAGAAAATTTTACATTGGACCACAAAGGTCCCTCCAAGTGGAGAAAGTAAATGCAAGAAACAAAAGCAGATTCTGGAGGACCAGAAAATCCTCAGTCAATTGAAAGCAAAGGAGCAGGAGATTAATAGCTGTTAATCTCCTGCTCCCGCATTTAGAGTGAACTGCAGAAGAGACATTAGTATATTTCTAACAGAATTGGACAACATTTACATCTAAAAAAGGTCAAAGAGAGATAAAAAGGAACTTGAAATGATTACTGTGCTAAAATATTTTCAACTTTTTACGGTAGGTTTAGACATCGCCTGAGAAAATAAATTGTATGTCACCCTTTTATTAAATATTTGCTTGGATGTACTTCTCCAGTTTACCTGAGCAGACACTGATTTCCTTTCTGACCTCTGCACTAAGAGATTTGTCAGACACTTTACATGTGAAGGCCTTTCCTGATTTCCACTCTGTCTGAGCAACTTTCAGTTGACTTGTCACGGCAACAAGTCCATTCGCATCCATGCTGATGTCATGATTTGTTGTTTTTATTTGCATGTAGCCATTAAACCATTCAATCTGTGGGTCGAAGCCCCATCCAGAACACAAGAGCGTTTGTTGACCTGATGCTCCACTTGGGACCAACAGGAGTTCCACAGAGGGGTTCACTGAAACGTTGTTGGCAAAAATATACAGATTTTTAACGTCCTTGGAAAATATATACATGTAATTGAACAAAAGCTGTTATTAAAAAGCAACACAATAAACTGTAAACAACTCTTACCAAAAATTCTGCTCATCAAATTTGACTTGAAGGTACTGCTGGAGAAGCCTTGGTTCACGCTGCACGAGACATTTGTGTCAATTTTCCAGGACTCTGTAGGAACAGAGAAACTTCTACTGACTGAATAAGGGCCGGATTCTTCAGGAAGATCTATATAATCCTTTTGCAAAGTGGCAGCTCCGTTCACTTGAAATGTAATAAAGAGATCCTGAGGGGAGAGCTGTGACACGTCACACTGGAAAACGGCACTTTCTCCCTTCAGCAGCTTTGACAAGGACCTTCTGATCTCCACTTGTGGACGTCCAACTGAAGGCCCTGGATCACAGGGTAAAAAATAAAAATATGGTGACTTACAGTGCCACCAAAACGTTTGATATCCACTCATGTTTTGCTCTGGTTTGAAGTGTTCATAAAAAGCATAACACAACATAAAACACCAAAATGTTACAGCACATTTTAGAGACCATGTCACATTACAAGAACTTTGAAGACAGTTCTTTAGTATTCGTATTATTGTATCATTTTACCTGAAATATTCATGGTCTTCGTAGCTGAGAAACACAGATGTTCAGCTTTACACTGAATTTGTTTCTTCTTTGCCCATGTCTCTGATGGAACCTTCAGGGTAGTGCTCACAAACGTTTCGTTTCTTGTTAGAAGAAAATATGTTGCATCCTCTACTGGAACCCCGTCCATTACCCAGGTCAGTTTTGCATTAAGCGCAGTGTAGATGGAACACTTTGCTTCCACTTCAGACTCTGTCATTACTTTCAGGAAATTTGGGATCTCCATATAAATGGGAGGAGAGTCTTTTCCATAGACTGCAAAAAAAAAAAAGAAAAGAAAAACAACAAAAAAATCACTTACTCTACCGGTCAATATATGGACTAATTTTATTCATTTTACCATTCGATTTGTGAAAATGCCTGTATACTTACTCTGACAAATGTTTATTGTTTCTGTCAAATTTTTGGCGATGTGAGTAGACTTGCATCTAAACATTGATCCTTTCATCCATTCTTCCTTTTCTGGAATGATCTCTGTGGTTTGACTGTAGGTTGTGTTCTCCTCATTTGCACTTATAAAATTTCTCACAGTTTGTTTGCTTGTTAAAAGCTGCTCCTCTTTGTACCACTGCACAGATATGTCCTTGGGAAAATAGTCACTCAAAGCACAGATAAGTCTGACATCTGAAATCTTGACTTCTCCATCCCAAACAGGGTACAAGGTGAGTTTTGGGGGGATCATCCGTAAAGCTGTGGAAGAAAGAAGATTGCACGGCATTGTGAAGGTAAGCAGGGGATCTTTAAAAGATTAAATGTGATTAAAGTTAATCCATACATACCTGCATGCTGTTGTCTTTAACTAACAACCAACTTTAACTAATAACCACTTTGAATTTCAGGTGCAGTTTGCTTTTATTTACACTAGATGGCAAAGTTTTATATTTCACATTATACAAAAAGAAAAAAGAAATGCAAAAAAAAAAAAGAGTTAAATGTCTGTTGAACAGACGTTGAGCTTGACAGAGCAGAGCGACCAGGGCATGCAACGAGCGGAAGGCTTGTGTAACACCCAGGTCCAAAATGGGGACCGAAAAGCAGAAGTGAAACAGAGCAGAGAGCAACAGAGCAGCACAGACGGCAGGTGTGAGGTGCAGCTATGCCAGTAAGAGAAACAGAAAACACATCTAAATATCTCAGGTTGCTTTACATAAGATATCACACTGACAATCTCTCATGACTTTGCCAAAGATTTTGGTTTGCAAGTCCAGTAATAACAGACCGAAAAAAGTAACCATGCAGCAAAATGTGCCAATTTACATACAGAGCAGAACATGGGTCACTGATTCCAGGTGCTGGTGGTGTGATGAGAACATCAAGAAAAAAAAAAAAATACACAACTGAGAACAGTGTTAAAATATTGTAAAGAAATAAAACGAATAAAACAGTTATCCTCTTTCAAAACTGTATTTCTTCAAAAATTATGTGGAGATAGATTTGGAATGATTGATAAATGTAATTTGCAATTACTTACATGACAAAGAAAGTATAAGAACATTAAAAAAAAGTTTTTGTGTTTTCTTAATCTATCAAATGTTCTTCTTATGTACTTCTTGTTTCATTTAACCTATAAAGAAAAAAAAAAGAAAGAAAAACATGCATTAAAAGCAGTATTATTCTTCCTTATGACTGTGTTGCTGATATTATTTATCAACATTTATGGACATAATGAATAATGTTCTGCTGAACTGTTTTGTTTTTTATGGACATGCCATTGCTAGCAATACAAAGCTAAGTCAGACCAAAAGAGCTAATCAGCTATTACTAATTTAATGTGATTTCAGAAAAAATTCTACACTTTAAAAATAAAAATTAGAAATAATTTATTTTATTCTTTTTATGAAAATAAAACAACACCTTTCATACAATATTTGGAGAACCTACAAAAGCTCTCTGTGTGTGATTTAATTTTTAAGTTGAATATTTTAATGCATTTAGCTACTTTTATTTTAATTACAAAAACACCAAAGATTGCTAATTGCTTTCTTTTAAAGACACCTTTTGTTTTTATGGTTATGCAGTGTGAAAATATTGTGCTGTGTTTAGAATGTTGAAGTAACTAGATAAACAATGTATAAAATTAACTGAGGCATATTTTTTTTTATCATTTAATTTTAAGTATTAGTTTTGGCTGAGTAAAATTAGTAAAAGAATGAGCTAATTTTATTTTTCTTTTTATTGTACAACTGCTAGTCCACTGTGGAAAAGTTGAAATTCTTATTTTCATTGCACTGTAAATATTTTACTTGAAAATATATAAGCAGAAAATATAAACATTTTTTCTCAGAGAACTTGACCAACTCTGGTTATAACCATGTTTTTTTTGTTGTTAATAGTGACAATACACAAAGGTATATAAATAAATAGTTGGTGGATTTGGGCCTCATTGGTCACTGAAATTATTCAATAAAGCAATGTCGTTTTTTTTTAAACTAATCACAATTAAATTAACACGATTATCAGCTAATGAATTTTCTCTCTGTTTTAATTTATGTAATTAATTTTAGATCCTGAATTAATAACAAACTTTTGAGAGATACTCAAAACTGATTCCACCAAAGTGTTGAAGTTTCCCTTTTAGTGAATCCACAAGTATAATGTTTAATCTCTATGAACTAGAATGGCAATTATAGTGAACTAGCGCAATGAAGGAGTTGAAATGTTTGATTTTGAAGGACTCTGACAAAACTTTGCATATTTCAATGTTGAATGACATTTTCTGCATTGTGGAAAACAATTTTATTTTGGAAATTTCTATGTATTTCACCTGTTTTGACGTTACACTTTAGAAAGTCCAGCTACTGAGAAAAATATTTCTCTGAAAAGCCCAATTGTCTCCTACAGTTTTAATAATAATAAAAGTGGTTATACAGTTTGCATAAAGTACTTTACATTTGGAAACAATCTCAGAGTTACATAACAGTTCCACATGCTCTTCATCTTGCTCAAATTTATAGGCCAAAGAAATATTTTGATATGTTAATTTATGCCTAATTTATAATCTGATTATAATAAAATGTGCAATTTAAATATGAAGAACACCATTAGGGTTAATAAACATATGTATATTCTTCTGATAGATTTCAATATTCAATTAAACCAACTGAAGCATTTAGCATTGCAACTAAAACAGCATTAGATAGAAAATGGTTAAAGAAAGAACTGCTGGGTGTTGGTATGAAACTGTTTTACAAAATGATTGTCAAGCATGAAAATAGTAATTACGTTTTTATAACTCTTGAAGACTCAAGACAAGAAACTTTGAATTATGTAAAAAAAACAAGCATTGTAACATCATGATGATGTGTGTATATAATATAGTAAAAAGGTAAATGACAAAAACAGGCTTGTTTCAGATTTTGCTGCATCATAAGTACATGCCAGTTATAAAACCGTTCTTCAAGGATGTAATTACTTTCTCCTCCAAAACCTTCGCTCATATCCACTGTATTGCAGCGTTTGTCATTTTTCAAATACACATTTGGTTTTAAGTTTCTAATCTCAGTAACTCCAAATTCGTGCCCACACCAATTTGTTGTGTTACCTTAAATGCGGTGGTCCCGATGGAGAAGACCAGGGTGAGGAGGAAGAGAAGAATGAAGGTGATTGCCGTGTTAGTCATGTCGTCTTCTTCTGTGGTGATTCCAAGTGATTCAATCAGGATGTCTGATTCTAGTGCACAGTTTGAAATTAGTGTATTTTTCAGTAGTGTGAGATAATGATTCATATTTTCTTTTACAATTTAGTTTACAAAAATATAAAGACTTCCAGAAAACAAAGGCTATAATTAACTATGCATTTTTTTCTGTCCCTTTAAATTTTTTTTCTAGTTTTCCGTCTCTTTATTTATATGATAACTGCTACAGTAATCTGATTACTTTTAGTATGATACTGACTTGCTTGTGAAAGACCCTGTCATCAGAGTTTAAGAGTCATCAAGACTTTTTTGGGGTGCAGAACCCAGTAGATGAAACAGTCACATAAAGACACATCACAGAAACACAGTCAGCTCTAGTTTTGCAAATAAATGAGAAAATCTAAATTCAATAACTGATGTTGAAGTGATAGTATTCTTGTAAGTACATTTGAAATCCTTTTATATTATTATTGCACAACTATTTGAAATCTAAATTTAGAGAACTCAAATGATATGTTATTTGGGTTGCATCAGGACGAAACTCACGTAAAACGTGACATGAACATTCAGTTTCAACACCAGACCAAGTACACACAAAGTGCAAGCGACAAATATCAACACAGTTGGCGAGTAATTTTTTTTTTTTATTTTCATTTTAAATTTGCACTAAAAACACACAAACAATTTTAAATCACAAGCAACAGACATCAAACAAGAAAGGAAGAAAAAAAAACAAGACGCATAGACACATCTACTGGGCCTTGCACGTTTCAGGGAGGTTCATGCTAAGGTTGACCACATTGGTTTTTTCAAAGGTTCTGGATCCAATGGACCTGACAATCGTTCTGCTTGACTTTGCCACTGACTCATGATGAACAGCACAGCTGTACACCACATCTTTCTCACTCCATTGTTGCTGTGTGAGAATCAACTGGCTGTAAACGGAGAAGAGTCCATTGTTTTCCACGGGTTCTGTGGTACTGAACCGATATTTTGTGCCTGCCTTTTCATCATCGACAAGCCAGTCCACATAAATCTCCCGAGGAGAGAAGTCTTTCACATAGCAAGTCAGAACCACTGTGTTTTCTCTAGTTTGTTCTAAAGGAGGCAACATAAACACTGATGGGCGCCTAGAAGCTCCTCCTGTAGGCATGAGAGAACAGTTAGGGTTACAAACCAATTGCCACATAATCTGACGGAAACATCTACTGTTCACAGAAAGATATCCCTCACAAAGAGTTTTCTGTCATGAGAAGCAGAAGTAAATGCAGGTCAACGACAAATTCTGAACAGTTTTCTTACCATTGCTTCTTTTGTACTCTTTCTTCACTGGATCAATCCACTCGGAGCTGTGGACTTCACAGATCCGTGTAAGACCCTGGCTCCATTCATCAAAGGTGATTTCAATTTTAGCTCGATGAACACTGGATCCAATATCCTCTTGTGTGGATACCACTTCATTCTCTTTCTCGTCCAACCAGATGACCTTCTCAAATCCCCCTTTTTTTTCGGTGACTTCACATATCAGGGATCCTTTTCCATCCAAGAAGATGTCCTTGTTTGTGGGGGGTATGATCCTTATATCCATGTCTTCGCTACACCCTTCTGTAACTAAAATGATGATGGTAAAAAAAAAAGTATTAACAGACTGGTAGCATCAATTTGGTGATTAGGTATAATGAAAAAAACATCATTGTACTCACTAGCTGAACACCGCTTGTGGGACACAGTTGAATTCAAATAGACTGGATTTTTTTCGCCTTTTCCCTTAAATAAACATGTTAATTTTGATCCTTCAGGCACTTCACTGGACGGCAGAGTGAGCAGACTTGCAACACTGTACAGAACGGTTCCGTTCGTGTCATTTCTTCCCTGAGACGATGTGATGACTTCATCTATTGTCCCGGTGATTACTTGATCATCTTTAAACCACTTGATCTCATATTTATTTGGAGAAAAATCTTTGGCAAAGCAGGAGAAGTAAGCCTCCTCTTTTCCCTCATCCACAGAGGAACACACTTTAAGAGTTGGAAGTTCATAAACCCCGTCTGAAAAACAAACAGATACACATATATGTTTGCAGAAGCAAGGACAAAGTCTATATATATGCAGAAGCCCTGGGAAACACTATGAGGCTTGGTTAATGTGATCAAGTCTGATGTATCTTTAACTGGTTCCAACAACATAATCAAACTCATGTATTTAAGACATTCATTATATGAGCACAGCAGTAAGTTGTTCTATGCATCCAAGAGGGAAAAAAACATCTATCCAAAATTGGCATTAAAGAACCAACACTCACTTCTGCATATACATTGACTGGCAAGCACAAAGTAATAGGGTTTACAACGAGGTTATTAATCAACAAACAGAAAAACAGACACAGGCAGAAGTCAGGAAACAAGAAGGATTGTTCAGGCGCAAAAAAAAAAAACTGAAGATGTAGAAGTAGTCTATGAAATGAAGAGAAAATGTTTTAGTGACGAGAAAAACCAACAAAGTCAGATGCTGAAAATACTGTTGAATTTATCCTCTTGTTCCACCTTAAATAAATCCTACCAGACATCAATAAAGATATAAATAATATACCCCATTTAAGCAATTTTAAAATCAAACTTTCATTGTTATGAATTTAAACCAAGAGTGACTTTCCAATTATTAAGAAAATAATTAAGCTGTTGTTTTTTTTTTTCTTTTTTACATTTACGGATGCTTACTCATGTCAGAACTCCCATCTGTTCTGACATGAGCAGTTCTTTAAACTAAAGCAAATAATTCTAGTTAAAGGCTCCACAATTTTAGAAAATAATACATTTTAAAAAATGTTTTTAATTTAAAAAAATTTGAACTATGGCATTGAAGACAACTAAATGCAATTTTAAAAAATACTAAAAAGTAAAGATTTATAACTTTGCATTAATCTTACTTTGTATCATGATTGAAGCATGTCGTTGTCCTGCAGGGTGATTTGCAATGCATTTGAAGGATTGTTTTGCTTCCCAGTCTTGTCTGCTGACTTGAACCTGACTGATTCCCATGTATTCATTGCCTTTCTGGATTGAAGGGTACTGGATGACGTTGTTCAAAGCAGTACTGCCTTTTTCCCATGAGAAGGTGATGGAAGAGGGATTGAAACCGGTGGCAAGGCAGCCGAGGGTGACCATGTCACTACCACCAGAACCACATGGAGCCAGAGGAAACACAGTAGGAGCACTCTGAATGGCTGAAAATGACAAAAAAACAGGAGCACATTTAAAACAATCATATATAAATTAAATAACTTCACAATTTTTCTTCAAACTTAAGAAAAACAGATCTTCACAGAGTTCAATCTGTCTTTTTCTGCTTTAAAAGACATCTTTCCTCTAAAAGGAAAGATGCCAGTGCATACAAAACCACAAACTTTACTTATGACAAATCCATGCAAAACCTATTTAAAAATTTGAACTCCTTTTGACAGATATCATAAATATAGGTACACCAGTCTTACCTGAAGAAACTGAGCAATAAACATTTTCGTAAATCAAAATTCATAAATCAAAAGCAACATTGTAAGACATTGTTCGATCCAATTGTTAACAAAATAATTCATCTTACCACTTCATAAAATCCAAATAAGTAACCAAAGTACATGCTCACATCAATTTGAAGAAAATAATATAAACAACCAAAACGTTTGGAGATTTTAGCCAATTCAAATCCACCTTGCAATTGTAAAACTTTATTTCTTACCCACGATTCAACAGGCAATTTGTCACATTTGAAAAAAGTCTTTTTGACCTGACGATCATAAAAATCTCAAATACTCAAACAATTTTGTAAATTCTGTTAAGGCTGTCCAGTCTGGAACTTTCGTAATTAATTTTGACAGTATTAACTTACTACAATAAAAAACATCCAAAACCAGTTCAGTTTGAGACATAATTTTTTTTCTTTTTTATATAAACATGCAATTAAAAAATGTTGTCAATTAAAACATAAAATGCATAATTGATCAATTATATTTGATTATAAAATGTCTAAAATAAAATCATATTTCTATAAACTTGTTCACCGATTTATATCCTACGGTAATTTAGAAGTCGCATTTTTATCAGTACTAGTATTTTTTTTTTTGTGGTTAATTTTCAGATCTATCCGTTATATGGCAAAATATAATCCTGTAATTACAATTACATTTGACAATTAGAAAAAAAAAACATTTCATACCTGAAGTGATAGTGACCATTGTCCCTTTTCCCCAATAGTCAAAAGCTTCGTAGTAACACAGTGATCGATTTGCTTAACTCTTAGTTTAAAAGGTTGATTTACTGATTGTGAACTTCAAACTCTAACACTTCAGAATCCCCTCTATTTTTAAAATCAATTAAAAAAATCCAAATTAAACACAATATTATAAATTTTAACAATACCATTTTGACATGCTTCAATAAATACCAAGTGAAGTTTGGAAGGATATTTCCAAAGTTCTCAAAAATAATCCTGATATCCCTGCTGTCACATAAATATTGCATTTAAAAATTTGTCTGAACATTTATTTTGAATTCAAGCATGTTCATAAAGTTATGTTCCAACTTAATTTACAATCCACAATTTTTTCTTTTCATTTAAAATATTATGGCCAAATTAGAAACAATTTAATTTCATACCTGAAGTGACGGTGACTGTTGTTCCTTTCCCCCAGTAGTCAAAAGCAGCGTAGCACAGTAATGAATATACTTAACCCTTGTACATAAAAAGGCCCACATATTGAAGGGGAATGTCCAATTCTTTGACAACTGAATATTCTTAAGATTTATTTTAAATCAAATTAAACTTTCCACACAAAAAAAAAACACGGTAGAATGTTGGTTATCGGGTTTAGCAATATTAAATTTTAGGATATCTAGTTTTATGAAATTGAAGTTCACATTGGGTCTTAGAAAAACTGATTTTGCAATTAATTTAAAAAATAATCTCTAAAATTCTTTTAAGATTTTAATCTGTTTCTGAATGTTTTGTTTCAACCTAATAAACAAGCCACGCGACTTTACACTAACAATCCTTAACATTATTGTTGAGTGACAAAAAGCAATAAAAACAGCTTTTTTAAATTTAAAATTTTCTTTGCTACTTAAAAAAATATAATTTCATACCTGAAGTGACGGTGACTGTTGTTCCTTTCCCCCAATAGTCAAAAGCATCGTAGCACAGTGATGAATATACTTAACCCTTGTACATAAAAAGGCCCACATATTGATGGAGAATGTCCAATTCTTTAAGACCTGAATATTCTTAAGATTTTTTGAAATCCAATTAAACTTTCCAAAATAAACCACAGTAGAATGTCGGGTATCGGGTTTAGCAATATTAAATTTTAGGATATTAAAGTTCACATTGGGTCTTAGAAAAACTGATTTTGCAATTAATTTTAAAAAAAAAATCTCTAAAATTATTTTAAGATTTTAATCTGTTTCTGAATGTTTTGTTTCAACCTAATAAACAAGCCACGCGACTTTACACTAACAATCCTTAACATTATTGTTGAGTGACAAAAAGCAATAAAAACAGCTTTTTTAAATTTAAAATTTTCTTTGCTACTTAAAAAAATATAATTTCATACCTGAAGTGACGGTGACTGTTGTTCCTTTACCCCAGTAGTCAAAAGCACCGTAGCACAGTGATGAATTAAGTTAAGTCTCAGTATGAAAAGCCTAATGGACTAATGGTGATCATGTAACTCTTTAACATGTCGCCACCTTCACTATTTTATAAAATACATCTAAACTAATTTAAAGCAATTAACCCTAATTATCAGTTTTGCCAATTATGAAATTCCTTTTTTCAGTAAATATTCTCCAAGTACAGTTAAGTTTGAGTATTCAGATATCAACAATATATAATAATTTATTAAAAATAAACTGCAAAAATACAGTGCAGTTTTTTAAGAGGTACAAATCTTACCTGATGTTACTGTTACTGTTGTTCCTGCTCCCCAGTAGTCAAAAGCCCAGTTGTCACAGTAATACAGTTTGGGCAAACTTGCAACAAAAACTGTTCCAAATAATACCTATACTTGTTTTTCATCTATTAATCTGCCAAATGAGTAATCAATCCACATAAATTTAACAACCTGGAGTTTTTAATTTTGCCAGTTTTGTACACTGACAAAAAAAAAAAAAAAATACTGTTGTCTTTTTAAGTGCCAATTGTCATAACCACATAAATCTGAAAATATTTTCTTTTTACATGTTACAAATATTGTTTGAAACTAGAAATAAAGGCTTTTCATACCTGAAGTGACGGTGACCGTCGTTCCTTTTCCCCAGTAGTCAAAAGCGTAGTCACAGTAAAGCAATACTTAAACTATCCCATACTAAAACATGTTTAAGGATTTACCTTTCCAGACAGCTTCATCAAAACATACCATAAATACTAATAAAGCCCCAGAAAGTTTAAAACACATTATTTTCACCAAACTTGTGAGTAAGCACCAAATCAATCCACAGTTTATGAAGGGTTTTGCTGAAATAAGTAGATTATTGCTTGTGGCAACTCTTTTTAACAGGAAAATGCTGAAAATCGACTAAAACCCAGATTTAAACATTACAGTGACCAAATAAGATCGACTTACCTGATGTTACTGTTACCGTAGTTCCTTTCCCCCAGTAGTCAAAAGCGTTGTCACAGTATGATAACTTAACAGACCCAACTTACAAAAACACCAGGAGTTTTCCACTGCCACTGGGATTCAAAACATATTCGACTGAACTACTTAATAATTACAATATTTAATGTTAGAGAAAAACTGTTCATTTTAATCAGTTTTCATACAAACCTTTGTGCCTTTCTTTTAGGAATGAAAATAATGTCGTAGTTAAAAGCACATTCAATTTAGAGAAAATGGTTTTTGTAGATGTTACAGATACATTTCAGGCTGAAAATAAGACAAAAAGAGAAAATAATTAAATGAAAGTATGTCGATCAGAAGCTTTGTATTTTACCTGAAGTGACGGTAACTGTGGTTCCTTTTCCCCAGTAGTCAAAGTAGTGGCAGGGTGACAAATTACTATGACACTTTAGTGCAAAAATATCCTGTCATCTAAAAATTTATATTTTGTCACCAGTACCTCACTATTTTCCACAGTTTTTGGTTTTGATAGACGTACATTGGTTTTCACAGTAAATAAAACTACTAACCAGGATAAACAATTAATTAAGAAATAAATATTAAATCTTATCAGTTTAGCAGATATGAGGTTCAAACTTACCAGAAGTCACTGTGACTTGTGTTCCTTTCCCCCAGTAGTCGAAGTAGCCGTCACAGTGCTACATTGCAGTCTGTTTCTAATACAAATACAACAGTTCATGTGAATCAAGAAAAGAATAAATGTTAATGGGCATTTCACTCTGTAGTATTTACTGTCATCTCCCTGGAGACATTTATTTCCTGAGGTCTGGGTGACATAAAATGATGCCAGTTATTCAACAGCTCTGGCCCACTTCCTGTTTGCCTGATCTTTTTGTCAGCTTTAATTTGTCCAGTTCTCTGTGCCAAGAAACTTCGTATGAAAAGTCATTTATAATGAAAAAGTCAAACCCCTTCTTTGAAATTCCACATGTCCCTTACATTTATAATGCTTTGCAAACATTGTCATTCACCTTAAGGACAACTGAACCAGAATCTAGGGTTATAATACTTTTTTTTTTCACAAAGACTAATCTGAAGTGAATCGAGCATGTATTCAGTACCTTTTATCAGATACATCCTCATTAAATCCAGTGCACTAGTTACTAAATGCAGTACAGTTGTGTGTAATCTAACACTGGTATAAATCCAGATGTTGTGCGAAGGCCTGAAAGGTTTATTTGAGAACATTGGTGAACGAACAGCAATCTGAAGACCAAGATACTCAACAGACATATTAGGGAGAAAGTTCTGCAGAATGTAAAAGCAATCCAAAGACTGGAATATCTCACACAACTTTCCATTCCTTCAACCAAAAAACCAACAGAAAATCTACCAAGACATGGCCAGCAACCTAAGACCAAATCAAAACATTAATTTGTGAACAACAATGAGTGATGCACTCTATAAAACTCTGAGAAGAGGCAGGAAGCAACTTATGGTTAAAAGAAACAATAAGAATCTTGCTTGGAATTTGAAGCTTGGAGTTTATAATCCACGGAGAACAACAAACATGTGGAAGAATGTGCAACGGTCATATGAGACCAAAATGAAAGTTTCTGGCTCACTTACAAAATACTGTGCAAGAAGAAAACAGCTGATTCAAATGATCCAATGCCTTCTCAGCAAGTGGAAGAACTGCAGAGGCCTGCTATTGAACTGTCATTTGATTCAGGTGAGTTGAACCATGGGAAGAACTATATCAAGCAGGGCACCAGGCCTTGAGGATGAGACTTTGTTGAAAGTAAAGTATTAAAAATAAAAAATCACTTGGTAATGAACCAGCACCTTTCACAGGTCTTGACTTGAACATATAAGAGTCCAGTGGTCACAAACTGTTTTGCTGGCAGATGGATTTTCCATTAGTTCTTAACTCACCAAGATGAAGGTTTTTCATTTGACCAACTGCTTTGTCTCCTTGATAGAAATATGTTAGTAACCAACCTGTTAGTATGTCCAGTGTGATTCAGAGAGGTTAATGTGGATCTGTTGGAAAAACAAAAGCAGTAGTTGACATGATTGAGGTTTTTTTTTTGCATAAAACACATTTTATAAAATGGGCAAAAAAATATTTTAGTACATTGTTTTTGTTCCAATTTTTACTCCACTTGAAATTTCACTATGGAAAAAAAAAATCCATATTTATATCTTAATGAGTCAAATCTGCTTGGGCAACGACAATTTTTAACTTTTCAGTTGATTTGTTAATGTTTAGTCTGTAGTGTTGTGTATGTAGACCCTTCACAAGTCATTCAAAATTCATTTCACAAACATGTCACAGCAGAATGAATTCACATCCACTGTTTACCAGGTACCTGTCCTAATTGTGAACTAAATTCAGTCCTTGATGAACCAGTTCACAATTATTCTGTGTTTTGGAAGGCATTTTGATCCATGCTATTTACTACCAAACCATACTACCAACATCTCCCCAGAGACATTTGTTTCCTGTGGTTTGGATTGCATAAAATTATCCCACCAGCTGCTCACTTCCTGTTTGCCTGTTCTTATTGCCAACCTTTTAGTCTGTGCACTCTGCAGTTTTTTTACCCGAGAAACCCAATGTTGAGATAGCACAATGCACCTTCTTTTTCACCTTCTAGTATGATGCTCTGCAAACTTTAATTTTATTTTGGACCTTGTTTTACATCTCCAAGTCAGTTGATAAGTGTCTTTAGCAGAACTCACAGCTTTTCTGTTCATAGTGGTAAACTGATCTTGTGGTACAAGATGTTGTGAAATGGAAGCACAGTTGGTCCTCACACACACAAAAAACAGGAAGCTATTATTATTGACCTGGACTTGAAGTTGAGTTCTTTAAATGGCAGGTATTTTTCATTTTTCAGACACATTGTGACATATTATCACACAATCAAATAACTATGTCACCTTCATTTGTTATAAAATCCTGTACTTATCAAACATGAAATGGGAAAAATTTGACTTATTAATGTAACGTCTTGAATTTGGACCATCATCTTCTGACAGTTTCAGCAGATGACACTGAAACCATTATCTGCTCGTCATCAGAAAAAACTTTTCTCCATTAAGTTGTCTACAGCACTCTCAGGAGCGCTGGACTGAAAAGTAGTTTGCATGATGAGTTGAGCAGACTTGCTATTCCACCAGGTGTTTGCTAATGGCTGCTGCCACTAGTCTAGGGAAACTGAGCTATGTGAGGTGAAAGCTTGGCTTTAAGTCTTTAAGACTTAACGCCTCTGGCCTGTGTCATTGATGCTGTGTTGTTCTACCTTAATATTAGACATTAATTAGGAGAAAACATTTTACATAAAAAGAATGCTTTAATGAAATGTGTTTTGAATTTATGATTTTTCCTGTTAGGAGACTGATAACCTGACAAAGCTTTTAATTTTATTGCAGTTTTATACATATGAATTTACTTTCTTGCCTCAGTGACATGGTGTGTTACTGTCAGAGCGCTTTAAATTTTAGTTTGGAGCTTCTGTTTCTCACTGAAATGTGGAAGCACCTGTTGTGGTGAAACATTTCCTGCAGTGTTACATAAATAACCCACTGTAAGGATGTTAACCACAGGTCCATGATGTACACATGAGTTACTTAACATTTAAACTGGACTTTATTACATTATTAATTTGTAATTGTTTGATATTTACAAATTAAAAAATATTGCCAACTTTAATGAACTACTCAACTGACGGAGACGATTGACTTGGCCTGAATAACTAACACAATATATAAGTTCGCCTCACATTTGAATTTAATATTTTATGTTTCAAAAATCATTTCGTACAAAACAGAAAAGAAGATTTTTTTTCAGGCAACATGTAATTTAAACTACCCAAATTGTATTATTCCATATGAAGTGGATCGGAATCTATTTTTCACAAATTGCAGCTAACTGTGAACCACAAAATTTAAGAAAATGATTTTGTATTGGTGTTTCACACAGTGGTAGCCGCCATTATCACAATGATTTATACTCATACGAAAACGTTTGCCTCCTTCAGTGAACTGGTCGTATTTTGAGTCGGGAAACTTTGGGGAAATTTTGATGAAAATGGATTCTTAATTTAGTACTTTTCAAACTTAATTAGACACAGCCTTACAGTGATAAAACAGTATGTATTTATTTATTTCATTTCATTAAAAAAATAAAATAAAAATCAAACAGCCTTTTTTTAATTGTGCAAAGGCAGTTTTTTGGGAATATATATTTATTAATTTATAAATAATTTAAATCTTATTTCCATTTCATCTTTACATAACCAAGAAAAGTGCTAATCAAAAGAGCCCATATTAGTTAATGTAATTCAAATTTAGATCAGACACCAGATTTAGTAAAAAAAAAAAAATATCTGTCAAAGAGCTGATTAAATTGAACCCAATATAGTATTTATTTCTTATGAAAAGTTTATGTTTTATGATCCACTACTAATGTACACACTGTGGTCAAACACTGTACAAAAATATACTCCTGAATGTTATTATATGATCCTTTTCCCACTTCTTTAACCAGACTTATGACACAAATTGATTTCAGTTTATTGGTTTATATAGTGATTTGACTTTTTCTCAATATATTTCCAAATATTTTCAGAAACATTCTTACAAAGTGAAAACTGGAAGAAACACGCAAAGCTTTCCTTCAATGATAGTTTTCATGCATGGACTGAGGCATAAAATGCCTCAACATATGTAGTTTGAAACATAGAAATTATTGGTTGTGTAATATGTTTTCTTCTTTAGATAGGAGGTTTTCGTCACAGAGTAAATCACTGTGGTTGCCATAGTACACAGTAAAATGATCCTATGCAAAAACTCCTCCCTTTCACTCTGACTTATATTGACAGTACATGGTTCTTTTAAATGATGGTGTTTACATTTAGGCATAGTAATGAATAGTAATAAAACAAATATTATAACAAAAATAAAGTAATCCTTTTGAAATAATATTGTATATGAGAAGAAAATGTTACAAACAATGAGCAATTTCTACCTTTAATAGAAATGTAACTCTCATAGCTCGAATAAACTAAACATGATTTGTAAAGTGACAGTGTCATTTTCTCTTGTTTTTGTTTGCTAGGAGGTTTTTGTCATAGAGGACATCACTGTGGCTGTTATACTGCACTGTGACACAACCCCAGACAAAAACATCCCCCTGTACACTGGATACAGTAATTTGAAAAGGACGTCCGATTGTAAAGCATGGACAAAATGTTTATTATTCAAAAGAAATGTCAGACAAACATTACAAAGAGCTACAAGTAATGGAGTATAATCTTATCTTTGCTGTAGCTAGAATAAAGTTTATAGAGATGTACATTGTATTTAAAAAGACATGTTTGTATTGTCTAGTTTTTTTGTTTGGACTGTCTGAATGAATATTCACAGAATATAAAAGCAATCTATTATCTCTTTTATGAAATATTTGATATTGTCAGTTTTACTACCCTGACACATTTTTCAAAAACCTCATCACACAGAAAAATTTTGCAAAAGATATAATCTTTACATATTATGCCAAAGCTTGGCTGTTACCGTTTTAAAATTTTGCTGAGACCTATTGAAAAAATAAAAAGTGAGACCAAGCATGGTTAATTTTATGAGCTAATAGATTTGTTAAACTACTTAATTGATCATTTGAT